CAGACCCTATGCAACTTCGCTCCGCTTTATTCCGTCGTTCCGCTCCGCTACCACGCTCCTCTCAGGTGTACAGGCAGCCTAAGTCGTAAGCGGTGGTGTGTTAAAATGCTATTAGGTGTGCCTTAAAACTTCCGGTGTTGCAGAAAACAAGTTTTGTTCGCTTCCTACAACTTTTTAGTACATTAGCACAATTTCAATTCTGAATTACAGTAGAGTCCGTTTATAATGACATCGAAGGGAAGTGACAAACACGTCATAATAAGCGGACGTCATACAAAGCGTTTTGTGAAATGAAAAACCTTTTTTATGTAAATATGTACATATGTATGTACAATATACATACATATTAAATCAAAATCAAAATTGCATGTAATCAGCACATTATAACACATACAATATATACAAGTGTATTTTTAAAAATAATCTGTAATTTTTGTCTGCTTTTGTTTTTTCATTTTATTGTAAAAACAGTCTCTAATACTATTGTATATCGAAGACATAGCTATCGTCAAATTATCATTTTCAATATTGCTGTGAACAAATCGTGATAATAATTCTGCAGCTTTTAATGCCTCTTCTGCGGTAGGTAATGGTGCTTCCTCGACTTCCTCTTCCCCATCACTTTCGAGCTCCTCGTTCTGTTCCTTAGCACGTGCCGAACGTCGTCGGGAATCAACGAACATTACCGGAGGTGTAAAGAATCATGTCGGTCATTATAACCGGACATAATCTATTAAAAATGGGTCATAATAAGCGACATGTCACTGTAAGGGAAGTCATTATATCCGACATTTTTATAAAGAATTTTATATGAAAACCAAACTTCGTAGTGTAATTACGTCATTATAACCGGTTGGTCAATATAGGCGGAGTCATAATAAACGGATTCTACTGTATTTATTTTAAAAACACTAACACATGTAGAAACTAGAAACTTACAGAGAATACACAACATCCAAAAAACACAATACATGCATGTCAATGACAAGTGTGCAAATTAAAAATTTAATATTTTTCTTCGTTGCAATTGTTATTGGTGAGGATAATGGCTGCAGTATCTAACGCTTGAAGACATGAAGACTGTCATAGGTAAAATCAGCCTTCTATGTCCTCAAAGCGTCGTTTACTGCAGAAAAAGATCTTTCAGAATTATCTGTTGAAGTAGTATTAAAAACACACCGCCATCTTTACGTGCTGCACTCGCTAAAACAAAATATACTATCAGAAAATTAATTAAAAATATTAGTAATGTGTGTTCAATAATGTTTATTCGTATATAGGGATAAATATACGCGTATTTGTTAGCCTGTAACATCACAGTTTGATTGCTTATTCCACGAAAAACCTTATTAGTGATTCATTCTATGAAATCAGTTGTCAAAATTACATTTTGTTAAATAAATACTGACGATCAAATTCGTTTTCGAATTTCTTGTTAAATTAAAATTGGCAACGTGGAAGGGGTGAGAATTCATGCGTGCGTTTAATATAAATAACACGGTATTGTTGGGCTAGTGGCTTCAGCGTGCCACCTTCATCCCTGTGGTCGTAGGTTCGATGTGCGCATTTAACATTCGAACGGTGAGGAAACGTTGCTTTACCACCAAAAAGACGTAGGCACGGGAAGCTGTTCACCTACTTGCCTATTAAATTGACAAATGATTATAAAACTGATACATAAATGGCTCAGTTGAAAAAGGTTGTAGCGCCACTGATTATTTATAACAGATAACTGAATTGTTATTGAATTATCAAATACATTTATTTTCAAAGACTTAAATTGAATAAAAAAGTTGTTTTTTTTTCTTCGCCAACCAAAAGCAGGACTTGTAAACAAAATGCAGGGAGAGCCTGCTAACTGTTAGGTGGGTGTAAGTTCTTATTTATGTAAAGAATGTGGGAAGAAAGCTCGGTATTGCGTAGGTTTTGGTTTGCATTGTATCGATTATGAAATATTCACATGGAGCTGATATTTATAGATTCCATAGAATCTACATATCATGTATGGAATTATACATTATTTGTTACTTTTTTTTCACTACAATAAAACTTATAAAGCGATTCTCATTATCGTTAGGTAAACAAAGCGTTGACTAAATTAATAAATAGTCATTGTATTGTGGGTAACTAAATAACAAGTAGTCAGTGGTACACGGTAGGTACATGTATAAAACAGTTTTTTGAGAAAAAGTAGGTTTAGTGTTACATCTAATCAAACACAAGTCTTTAAGACATTAAGTGTATATGTGTGTGTGTATGCGCATGTGTTTGAGAGTGTGTCATGCCAAAATACGCAGGCCTCTGTAGATTCAAACCCAATTTGGCTAGTGTAATTTTAATTCAAGTATTTTTTTATTTGTTCTAAAATCTATCTTTTCGGCGTTGGTAGTAGTAATCTGTAAACAGGCTGCTATACAGCGCTACTGAATATTGATTTGTGCGTCATTAAATTAAGGGAATCGCTTTTGTACAAAGGGCACAGCTGATCTTTTCCGACAGGTTTGTTGAGTGTTTACCGAGCTGTCAGTTGCGGGAATATTGAAGTTGTCCGCGTGAAAGAAGGAATTAAAAATGTTCCAATAAAGTACGAAAAAAAACGTGTTAGTAGGTTAGTATTAACATTATTTAATAATTATTTAAAGTTATGTTGCCCATAATAAAATACTAAAGTTTATTCCTTCTTTAAAATAAGTATATTAATAGTGTATTACAAAAAAAAAGCTTTCTTAGTAGCTTTGGACCATAAAAAGGCGCGGCCTTTGAGATGTGAATACATCGCAGAATTCTGAAGTTCTTAATCCACGCAAAAAATAGAACTGGTACATACAAGTAGATAAATCTCTTGAGCACATCTTCCATATCCAGCAGCACAGACTTTTTCAGTAAAAACCAACAAAAAATGGTACAGAACATGTGAGAGTGGACGAGAGATAGTCAGTGAAACAATTGCTTTGATTGGCCAAGACCAAGGAGACATTTTGGACAGTAATGAGAGGTACCACAAGAAGTTTTACGTGTCATATCCTTAGATAATAAGAGGAATTTTCCACATGGAAAAATACACTTGCTTAGGTATGTTAATTCAATGTCATAAAGACTGAATTGTATCTAGACTTGGAGATATTATCAATTCTATCCTGGCTGAATTCGTAAACATGTTCAATGCCGGACAACTTAATTGCTAAAAGATAAGGTCAAGAAGCGTGTCAAGAACAAATAAAAGTAGAGCCATAAAGCCTTCTTATCTCTGGCAACCGGACGACAGCGAAATGGGTTATCTACAATTTTTTTTGATAGTGAATACCTTTTTATTTTCAGGATTTCATAGTGAGTGCCGTGGTTGTTGAACTATTTTAGACAAACGACTTAAAACCTGTCAGGAGTGACAGGAGCCTGAGATATCTGATCACTTGATTGGGGTTTTAATTTTTTTTAATTTTTACTTTTTTTTTTTATTAATTAAATACTGTATACAGTTATTACACACTAAACAACATTTGTAAACCTGAAGTCCAATTACATCAGTACATCCAGTTTTAGTGGCATCTTTGGTGCTGGTTTTCTAAACATTAACTATTAAATACAGTATACATATATTAAATTTATGACAAAAAATGAAGTTATTCAGGTTGCAAGTCTTCACCGCGAATAATCTTTTTAGTTATCACTTGCAAAATTTAATGTAATTAATAATTTATGTATAATTATTATGTACATTATTATGTACAGTGTAAACTCTTTATAACGAATTTCAAGGGACCGAGCATTTTCTTCGTTATAGGGCCGGAAGAGAAAAAACACCAAATTTAACAAATTACAATAATTTATATATATATATATAATAGATAGGTGACAATGGTGCGTTTAGTAACTGAGACCAAACTTTCCTAAAGGCAATGTAATCTAAAAATACAGGCACGTGTGTTAATGCAATTAACAATAACAAAGGCAAGAAGGCTCATATGACCTCAGGTGGCTTTCTTAGAGATTTCGGCACCTCAATAGTTTAGTTTGGTAATCTTATAATAAAAACAATTACACTTAAGTATGTTGTTCATGTCTAAATATGAAAATATTTCTTCGTAATTGAGTGTAGAAATTGTTTGTCAAATGTTTTGACAAATATTCCTCATGTTTACGTTATAATGAATAACGTTATAAAGACACTTACACTGTGAATTAAAAATAATTAATTATCACAGGTATGTTGACATAGAAATTTAATAACTAATTTTAAAGTAGTTATTAAAATTTAAATCTTTAGTTATATTGCGGTTAGATCGACATTCTGTCATACATGCGTTGCATATAGACAAGTCCTGCTATGCCAAAATATTCACTTATTACAGTAATTACAAGATTGATTTAAATTACTCGTAGCAGATTGACTGATTCATTTTGGTAAGTTACTTTCGAAATCTTTTAATACATAAATTATTATTTTTTGGCAAAATTGACTTTCAAGAATTTAAAAGCATTCCTAATTAATTAATTAGATTTCCAGGAAAGTCGATATCCGAATTAATTGCTCATTACGATTTTATGGTACAAAAATAGATAGGTCTAATGTCTTAGTATCAATATAATAATTTGAACATCAAAGGAATGTTATGCGACATTCGTAATGATTTTATTGCGTGTCTTTATCAAAATATTAAAATAACTCGATAATTAGTTATCTGGTCTCTACGAAGCAACAAGCTTTAATTCTAATTTGTTTTCAACACGTTTAAATAAATATATTTTTAACTATGGTGACATATCAACGGTTAGTTATTTAACAAATAATCAATCTACCATGGCTATTTCAAGAAAAGAGCGTACCAAGCCGGCAAAACGCTCGCGAGCGTTCTAGCAGGGTGAGTCCATGGTCGGGGATGACTCTGTTCTATATAAAAATTATAAATCTGTTTTAGTAGAACAGACTATTCCAACCGGCGCATTGTCTGAGGTTTCATAATGTTTGAGAATACTCAAGATAATATGATTAAACAACTCACATCATTAAAATATGCTTGCTCTAGCCGCTGTCTTGTTTTGTTTGCATCAGGTAGACTTGACTGCCGCCTCACACGGCTTCTTTGTTCTCGTTCCATAGTCATAAGATCTGATTTTTGTGATAACACCAAATAATGAAGCCGATGCACAATATCCATTGTTTAAAATACTAGCACAACGGTGATTACTAGCAAGATACTGATGATATTAGCGTTTAAAAATATCATATATCTTTTTTCTTTTATTACGCGAAAGCACGAAAGCTTTCATAATTTAATTTTTAAAAAACTAAGATGATGTGATTTAAAATATAACGTACAATATAAAGATTAACGTAGCACAACTCGTGGCGAATGCTAGCACGCGAATGTCTGGTACAGTGTAGGGCGGGCGGGCGACTAATGACTGTCTAGGCGGCGGGTGTTCGATGTTGCGTCCTTAGTCTCACGTTGGATGTTTCTAGGCAACGTGTCATAAACAACATGCTTATGATCAAGATTTTAAGTTACAATAGCCCGTATGAATATATACGTACGTGATAGCCGATGTTTTTTGGTTTGTGATTTAGTAGTCTATATGTAAAATTACAAGTTAAACATTCGTCATTAAAGTGATATATCCCCTATGTAGGGCAGAGGATATCCAGCGTAGTAAACAATCCTGGTCTGTTGGCTTTGCAGTTTAAACATGTAACTCATTATATATTAAAAGCCAAATGGCTTTACTAATACTTATGTTTATACTGTGTTGATAATTCCTAAGATTTATTGTTCAAATATAAATTTGAATGTTATTTCAATAAATTATCTTATTAAATTGAGTAAAAACCTGTAAGATTTCTTAGAAGAAAGCTTTATATAACTGGAGGCTAATCAATAGGATATAATTTAAATAACAGATTCAGTGTCAACTTAACTTTTATTAGAAATAATTTATATCATTTTTAAGTAATGACAAGAACACATTTTAGAGCCATAATACAGAACGAGCTTAGGAACAAAACTTTAATTGTGCGTTATATTGAAGTACATATATAAGTAACTTTTTAATAAAAACATGCCATTAGTATTAAAGTTGTAAATAATTTGTACCTTTATAGTATACAAGGCAAACATTTCTTAAATAAAATAAATTGAAAGCTTTAACTAGAGATTTCCTAATTTAACCTTAAACAATCCTTCATAGCACCTACTGTATTTCATGTCATATTGCAGTGACATAACTAGATGTAAAAAATCTACTACTTATTTATTTAAATTTTTTTTTCCGACAACTCTACTAAAAGAATGTCTTATTTATTACACTCATAAATTGTTTTTAATGAATGTAGTAAAATGTTCGTGAGATCTTTAAAGTATTGCAAACATGTACTTTGATAAATTAACTAAAAAGTTCACTATAAGTTCCTCAAATATGTAAATTAATTTAAGGCTATGATTCTGAAATTTTTGATTTTCCATTTAATTTTCTCAACTGACCGAACATGAGTACTGTGTTTATTAAGTTTTCTGCATAAATGCGTTGATTTGTCTCCATTCTTCTCAACTTTTGAACAACATACTTAGAGAAAAACTCTAGTTCATTTTCATTGCCCCAATTTGTTTGAACATTGTTACAGCCTTTTGAGGTTCGAGGACTGGTTTGAGTTGTTGAGGTCCTTGATTTCTTTTTATTTTGTTCATGCAAATTATTAATATCGGTTTCATTCACATAAATTAGATTCAAACCATCCTCCATTGCTTTAGCATTTGCAGAGTTAAGTTGAATTGTTAGATCATCTGGTACAGTCACCATTGGCACATGATCATCTGTAAATACTGGTGATGGTAGAAAAGACACCCTTTTTCGCACTTTTACTGATGGTACTTTTTGGTTATCTGACTGATCTGTGGTACAAATTGTATGTCTTTGCTTGGGATCTTTTTTATGTGTTGCATTTTTACTTTGCACTAGACCTTTACTACTCCAAAAGTTCACTTTAATTTTGGGTTTTGACTTTCTTTTATCAATTGCTTTAGATTTAGGGGTTATTGGTGCAAGTTTGTATCGAACGCCGTCGTCGTCATCTTGTTTCTTTGATTTAACACTATTGAAATATACAGTATTTAACTTATATTTTACATTTTCATCATCATATTTCAAATTATCCTTTCTTGATGTAATTTGTTTCATGATAATTATGTGTCCTGGAAACAAAATATTTTGGAAGTTTACTACAAAATTATTCATCGTATGGAAACGTCAACAAACAGTACTCAGTAGGTACTAAGGTACTACGGTAGTGAGTACTGACAGCGATCTTTCCCGCCTAAACTGTTGAGACTCATTTCAAAGTTGATTATATTAAAGTTTGTGTCAACAACGTCTAAGATAAATAAAGTTTATCAAATTTTAACGACATACAGGTAACAAAAATAAATTAAAACAACGTAAATTAGTACTTTACGCATCTGAAAGTAGAGTTTAGCAAACTGTTAAAAATTTATATTTACATTCAGATTTTGATAAGGAACTAGCCTTCCACTTTTCTCAATGTTATAATTATTTTTTTTAATTTAATCACTATACTGTCCAATAAAACAATTGTGTCACAATATAACTGTTCTTATCACAAGGATATGTTTTTTGCCAAAAATATTACATAATCACATACAACACTTACCTTACGATGTGAAACTAATTTTTAAACAGCATCTAGTATATTCACAAAGAAGAATTATAAATTATAAAATTCAAATAAAACTTCTGTGCACGCTTCTAATTGAAATTCACTTTCTCACGTTCACAATAATTTCCTAAACAAATGACGGCTAAGACAGCTATTTCTATTTGCTGCTTATTGTTACTACACTCTTTCCTATTGGTGATTAAATATGGTGACGTGACATTTGATGTTGACACTACACAGATAATGAATTAGAAATAGAACACAAGAGTTAATAAAAACGGGACAACTGTGTAGTATTTTAGCTAGATGGCGCTAATACCCTATTTGTTATTTTATTTTAAAGAAAGATAATAATTGAGTTTTTTTTTCATATATGTATTTTAGTGATATACAACATACTTCTTTGAAGGAATAAAAATTTTCACGGGTCAAATTCCATAACTTTGTATGTTATTTGTGTTACGTAGTAAAACTTGATTTGTTTTATTTGTTTTTTTATTACACTTATATTTTTTTTGCATAAATTAGTCACTAATTTATAACAATACCCAGGATATATCTAAATATTAATGATTACCCATATTTATCTTACGTTAACTTTTGTTTATATAAACTATTTCACAATAAATAACTAGCTATGTATAATAACAATAAATATCAATATTTAGTAAAAGATATTTCAAAAATAATTTTTCCAATAAAATTACATAATATATTTATTTTATAAATAAATTTACTAATAGCTACTCACCATATGATTTTTCATGGATATCCAACCCATTTTCGCCAGTAACTTAATTTTACGATTAGTATCCGTCGTGATGATTAAATTTTACTAATAAAGAGCAGAATAAGCTTTATACAGCTATTTTAGATCGCGTCAAATATTGAGTAGGTTATGTAGGCCGCGGGATCCTATCTCAGACTGGGGTACAGGAGGCTGTGCGCAATGCGACATCAGCTGTATCCTTAAATAAACTTATCCACGTTGACCTTTATAACTTTTCTTTGTATATTAATAAATCGTATTTTTTGAAATATCACCAAACATAAAAATTTAAAATAATAGTAATAAATAGAAAGTTGAAAACTTACCAGTTAAAATATTCTCTTATTTTTATTCACTTCACGCAAACTTGATTAAAAGTGATATAATGAGTTGAATGAGAATAAATATTATTAAATTAAGGTAATATAAGTTTATCCGCGGGAAATATTGAAATCTATTGATTGTGACCTCTCTCTGCAAGGTCCGAAGCAAAACATTTTCGTGACATGCGCATAACATTTTAGTTTTCAAAATGTTTCTTTGTTCAAGTTGAAGGTTTTCTTTTGATGAACGGTTGAATGTTTTATTAGACAAGAGTCACCTTATTAAAACTGCTTTGTCCGAGTTAAGAGTGTGCTATGAATAAAATATTATTTTAATTTTTAGTATACATGAACCAACTTATTTAAATTTACGCAGTTTTTTTATTTTTTTTAACTTTATGGCTCTGGCACGGTTTGTGCATTAGCCAGCGTCAAGTATGAGATTTTTTTTAATTCGTGCTTGCCTTAGAAATTCGACCATGTCCTCCATGTACGGTTTTAAGCACTTAAGCAAGCACAAATTTAAATTAAATTAAAACTTGCCCTCGAACCGGGAATCGAACCCGGTACCCCTCACCTAGCTGCCACTATTTACGCAGTTGGCATTATTAATAGCAAAAAGTTTTCATAGAGCAACAACAGCAACCTTTTTTTAAATTGCTAACTTTATGGGCTGGTTAAACAGCAACTAACAACAGCACCAAAGACAATTTTATTGTTATAGATAATAAATATAGGAGATAATAATAGAGGAGAATAACATGGTCTGTTGGATATTTTCTTTGTTTAATAGTTAATACTTATTAGAGTTAACTATTAACAATACATTAAATTATAATATTTTTAATCATACAATAAATGAAATAAAACATCTATTCATTAAACAAGTTGATATATTTGAGAGCTTTTCCTAGGACATAGTAGGTGTAATATATTGTTATATTTCTCCGCCTTCGAGTAAAATATATCAATAGGTATTGTCAACTTATTTATTTATAATAATTATTATAAACTTACCTGAGCTCTTACTGCAGCTAGATGTAATTGAGTGGCTCTATAATCGTACTTCTTCATAGAGATCTCCTCCTGCAATTTTAAATTAATTTATTATTTTATCTGCGGATGTTTGTACTTATATTGTTCAGCGCCATCTAATACGCTAATAATACACTAGAGCGCCTAACTGGACAATGTTTTATGTTACGCCATCTATTGAAATAAATTGAAAGCTGAATAGTGTGGCGTAGTACGTTGATGAAAAATGTATAATTTTAATTATATATTTACTCATGGTTAACATGTTAACGTCACATATAAATTCTGTTAGATGGCGCTTTCTTAAATTTAAAAGACGTAAAGAACTCTTTATAATATACATACAAGCTATCAAGCTTAGCGTTCCAGTAGGGGGCTACACTCGGTAAAAATTGGAATGGTAAGTAATAATTGTTATTTTTGTTATTATTATTAGCGATAGCTAACGTATTTAATTATTTTCTTGTCTTGTCTATTCAATGACTAAACATATATACAAATTAATAGAATCCTCATTCTACCACCAACATGAAATTAAGGCAAAAGCAGCTTCTGTCTCAATTATTTTTTGATTTATGAGAGAGTTTATAGAATTGCCAGTGCCCTCCTGGACGCGCGAAACGCGGGCTCTATAATCTAAGTTCTATAATCTTTCATAGATTGTTCTTGTCATAATTTTACCAGAAACTTATAGAACAATGGAGTATTTAAACTACCTGTTGCCCACTGTTTACAGAGAGTTAAGGTATTTCGGTGAACCAATCTTTGTACTGGAATCCTGATCGATATCAGACCATTCGAAAGTGTGTGTTCTATAATCCTTGATAGATCGTTCTCGTCAAAACCCGATTTTAATGAGCAATGTGGGATTACTACCTGTTGCCCACTGTTTACGTAGGATTAAGGTGTTTCTCTAGAATGTTCTATCTTTGTATCAACTTGAATCTAAATATCGATCTGGACCATTTTACATCCCTATTCTCCGAGTCATCTCACACATTGCAGTATGATAATATATTATTACGACTGTAGTGTATCTAGACTGCCTGGAATAGATCGCTTGCTCAAAGGCAGTGGCGGATTTACCAGCAAGCAGGCCTTCGCCGGCAGATTTTCGGGGCGGCAAATTTGGAGTCCGTAGGTAGGTGGTCCGTTGGCTATCTAATCGAAATAAAACATATTTTGACGTTTTCTGATATTTATAGATCTGATAGATAGACAGATAGAACTCTGCTACAAATTTTGGTTCTGGCTTTCCCCTCTCAGTTGTCATTGTATATTTGGTGTAGAACCATATCCTAGAGTAAAACAGCTAGTTCGCCGCCCAGTATCCACCTCAGATCACACTTTGTATAAGTGTACCTCTTCCCCCTATCAACTTATACATATTAGTCCTACTACTGGTTGGAGGCTGCCAACTGGATGATTTGTGTATAATTTTGTGCTTCAAAAGCAAACCCAAAAATTATTTTTCGTGCAATTTCAACGAAATTGTTGGATTGTCAAAATAATCCAGGATAATTCTAGACGCGAGGGCGGCACAAACTTCACAGCCTCTATCTTGAAAATGAGTGAATCCACCACTGCTAAAAGGCTGTTGCTGAGCCTACATATATTCCTGCTTTTATGTTCAGTGTAAAACGTTACTTTGTGATTAAACGTTGGACCCAGATCGATAAGCTATCCACTATAATACACCTTTGCCTCAAATTGCAGATGCCTTAAGCGCTCAGTTCTGGCGTGATTTAGTAGCAAACTTTGAAACAAACTTCTATTACACCGTGAAGTCACCGTATCTAATTTTATCCCTTAGTTTACTCTTAGTTCTATTCCTGTATTCGATTTTGATTAAATAATTTCAGTTTGAAGGACAGACTAGACCTTGGGGCTTTGAGAAGAGAAAGAAGAAATGATAGCTCGTGTCCAAAATTTTCATACAAATTTAGTTTTTTGACTTTCTACATACACTACTGTTAAGGCATCTTGACTAAGCCCCCTTGCTGGTTTGCACTTGTCCACAGATAACAGACATTAAACTCTTTAGTTATCTGTGACACAGATGAAAAACAATTTAATAGAATGCACAATACCTAGCTTACACAAATAAAACAATGGCCTGCAATTAATCGTGCGTTCATTTTTAATGGAGATGTCGAATATTCACGGAACAAAAATAAGCGCGAACTTTTCAGCTATTGACTAAAAATACATTCATTTTATTTATACACATGAGGTAAACAATGCTGTTATAAAATGGAAATCACGATAAAGAAAATAAGAAAACTCAAATCTCTATTGTTTCCAGACATGCCCATGTTTCAAGAGTAGAAAATGAAACTCGTGTGAGCTTGGCTGAGCCACGGAAAATAGAAAAAAAGGCACAAGAAGACACGGAGTGTAATGTTCTTCAAAATATGTGTCGGGCTGGATGCAAAAACACAATAATAAGATTTACATTGAAATAAATAATTAATGTTTTGTACCAGCGTATGTTTCGTGAATTACGTGATCATTATAATCTGATCAAATAAAGTTTTCACATAATAACGAATACAAACGAGACACTTGATATGGAATTAGAAGTTGACAAATAACTTACGACCCACCAAACAAAGTCGCTCATGACAAAATTAAGCGCCAAAAAATTTGTCACTTGACAATTGACGTTGACAAATAGGGACAAAGAATTGAGTATCAATGCACTTACTTGAATTTCATTCACTTTGCTGTATATATTACTTTCGAGGCCGCGGTTTTGTAAACGCATCAGTGACTCCAAACCTTCCTGCGAACAAATTGAAGATATTAATATTTGGATGAGATACAAATGAATGATTTTTGTTTGGACTAATTTACCACAAGAAAATTTTCAAATATAGGTAATGAAAAAATAAAAGACTATTTTTGAGATCAGAATTATATAGTTTTACCAGCTGATCCGGCATGACCCGTATATTATTTGTAGGAAACATTTTTTTAGTTCAATAAAAATAACTACCTATCTAATATACTAAAAAATATATCGTAGAGAGGTGAAAATTTAGGGTTGTATGTATGTTTTAATGCCACATTATAAAAAAAATTATCCAAAAAAATTTTTTTTTTGGGGTGGACGCCCCTTATCACTTAGGCGTTTGAATGATAGATAGTAGCCGATTCTCAAACTTACTAAATATGCATAATTTCATAAGAATCAAACCGTTTTGGAGGAGTATGGGAACGAACATTGTGACACTTGTATATATTAGATTATATCTATATGTACGAACCAAGGCTGTGTACTTTGCTCACTCAGGCTTTTTTACACGCTTTATATTAGCTTCACCTGTATGTATGTATGTATGTAACCGACTCCTTCGGACTCGATTTTGACCCACTTTAAACGGACAGATTTAATTCAAACTTTGTACACTTATAAAGAATCAGCGACAATAAATAATTTCATAGGTTTATCTCGAAAAAACAATGAAATTTTTTTTAAGTCCACAAAGCAATACGATTAAATTGAGACAACACGTATTGCTGCTAGGACTAAAAAGTGGAAAATAAATATATGTAGTTTAAAAAAACTATAAAACACGCTTTTAAAGCACATCAAACTAAAAAGTGTAAAATAATTCCTAATTTAGGCTGAAAATGGGAATGAACAAAAAATACTGGTATTATTGTGAAAAAGCGTGGGGCGCTCTGTGCCATATTTTTCGTCTATCGAGCAACCCACGCTTTTTCACAATAATACCAGTATTTTTTGTTCATTCCCATTTTCAGCCTAAATTAGGAATTATTTTTCACTTTTTAGTTTGATGTGCTTTAAAAGCGTGTTTTATAGTTTTTTTAAACTATATTTATTAGTTTTATAAGTGTGGCGTTTACCTAAATCTTCGAAGTTACGCCCCGACAGTAGCACTGTCAGCATTTTATAAGAATAGCATAGCATTTAAATTAGCATTAAAGTCTTTGTTAGTGATGATTCTCCATTATTTAAAGGATTCCGTTGACCCAGGAACCTAATTTTAATTTTAATTCTCGCCTATATGTACTACTTTATACATAATCGTATATATATAATACGTTTAAATTATTTATATATTTGGAAGGCACATAGTACGTTCGTTAAATAATCCTTAAATAGCTTCTGTTCTCGACGACATAATTATTGTATCTGGATTAAATAATGGTACCTCATTAAAGTAATATATGCCAAAGTTAGGTAGCGTTTTAATACATTTTAATCTTATACGTACTAAATTAATCACTCATGAATAATATCATAGGAGCGCGCCACAAAGAAGCTAATTAAATAGTATGAATAATGTATTTTACTACAAAAATTCAGGAACTTCTTTTGACTTAGTATAATTACTTTTGGGCTTTGTGTTTAACTTGGAGGTTAATTGGAAATCGTAGGATTCAAGAAGACTTGTGACCACAGAAATCAGAGATGATTTTAAGGTAATAGAGATTTTAACTGAAATCTGTCTTCGATTGCAGAAATGATCAGTTTATGAAGTTACCAACTATTTTATGAAATGGCTAACCTCATCATGTTGATATGGCCTGAGGTCAATGACCATTCTTTGGCGATAAAAACAGCTCGTAAAATAAACGATTAACCGTTTTTTTAGTGGATAACAAAGACAATTATGTTACACGGAAGGATAAAGACGCTATGAAGAACTGGCTATTTGATACCTTCGATTCTTGCATCTTTGTAGCTTGTTACATGGATGAAAGTCCTTTATTTTATTACAGAGCTATTCTTTAAAATTTAATAAATGTTTGACGTCCAATATAACCTGGATTCTCAGTTGCAGATGCTCTGATATAAGCTGTCACAGCAAACGGCTTCAAAAATAAGATTACAGAGTACGGATGCTACCTCTGAAAGGAGAGGGTAAGACTGCTACATTTCATAACATGATTATTTCATGATTGGATCATGAATTGAACTGGGGATATATTTAAATTGTCGCAAAGGAAATTACATAAAATACCCATCAGCCGTTAAGGTGATCGAGTTACATGAGACCAAATAAATTAGAACGAGGAAAGATCCTAAATTCCGAACTGACGCGAGACGATTTATAGATGTTTATTTTCGATATCGGATATCGGAAACCTTTAGTTTGGCAAATATTAGGAAACCATATTTCATATAAAAGCATTGTTATTGTTTGATTCCCGCGTTTTTAATGTTGCCTGTGCATACTTCAATTTAGATTTTTGTTCGATAGACCAACCAAACGAGTAATGATTATTTGCGGGTATAGACAATTTTTGGTGCACAACAACTTAATGCTAACACTACTACTATACTTTAAGCATAAACAATAACAGTATTACCCAACCTTTCTTGTGACCCACTTTAGCATTTATAAAATTCTAATAACATACATAATTTTTAATATAAAAAAAAAAAATTAATTTTTCATAGTATTGTCTTTTATTGACTTAACTTTTAGACAGAAAAACACTTTTTTAACGGATTTGAAGTTATGTTTTACTATAAATTTACAATTATTTTACATAATTTTAAATTTAACCGACTTTTCGCGTGCTTTACAGCGTGCGTGGTCACGTGGTTTTATGCCCGGAGTTGGTCGATACCAACTCCGGAGAATTATTTCTCCGGAGAAATAAATACAGATATAACAACTTTTTCTACAGCTGTGATACTTTTTGACATTCAACACCTTTTGTCTTCAGTCACCGTGATCATGCGACACGCACGCTGTAAAGCACGCGAAACGTAAGAAACTCAAATGATAGGTTTAATTAGGAATTACTAGGAAATTGTTATCGTGGGGCATGGGCCACGTTGGGAAAAACTGAACTATAAGTACCTGTTTCTGTTTCCAACTATTTCTATAGAGAGAAATTTTACGTTCTTTTTTATAGCATGACACGTTGCTAAGTATAAAGGTAAGTAGGAATAACAATGTTCACAAAGTTAGAAACCAATAAAAGTTGTTGTTTATATATTACCATAATTCAAACCCGTGTACAAGCCCGACGACCGATCGTCTATACCTTTGTTGAACTGATAAGATATAGCGATAAAGTTTTATAAGATAAACTATATTATGACGACACCAAATCGCTCACAATTCAATTATTTCTAGCTTCCTTTTGTAGAGTTAATCAAATTAAAGATTTTTGTACAGAATTAAGGATTCAAAACCTATAAATGAAAAAAATGTCATTATAAAATCTCAAATCTGTTAAAAGAAATAAAAATGTTTTTTTCTTGAATTTTTTTTTTCTAATATCTATAACATGTTTAATTATTCATACTTTAAAGGTTTTAAGTTAAAATAAACGAATAGTCTTCAATATTATTTATAAATAAATTATTCATACCAACAAAATTGAATAATTATTTATAACAGATAATTGATTTACTTAGGGTGCTTCAAGAAAAGAGCGTACCGATACTTAAAAGGCCAAAGCCCCTATGGCCCCTAAGCCCTTTAAATCAGGTGGGCCTCCTGCCCGTCTGCTCACTGTTGTATAAAAATATAAATATTAAGTGCATTATCAATAAAAAAGAAAGCATTTTTAATCTTTATTAATACTTCCTGGAGTGATTAAAAAACTGGAGAAATAAGGTTCATTCAGGCACAGAAGGCTCTTTACCTACATACCTAAAAATTAACCAATAAAGTAGAAATGTTTCTTCCATTATACCTGCAATTGTTTTATCTGCAACTCGAGATCAATGGCGTCTTTTCTCAATTGTTCATAGTTTAGTCTCGCCTGACCTCCTCCCATTCGGTCGAGTAACATCTCACCTCGCAGCACTGGAGGCATAGACTCCTGCAAATAAAAAGTGTGTTTTTATCTTGAAATATCGTAAATTACTGAGCTGTGTTGGCCTAGTGGCTTCAGCGTGCGAATCTCATCCCTGAGGTCGTAGGTTCGTTTCCCGGCTGTGCACCAATGGACTTTCTATGTGCGCATTTAACATTCGCTCGAACGGTGAAGGAAAACATCGTGAGGAAAGCGACATGTCTTAGACCCAAAAAGCCGTGTGTCAGGCACAGCAGGCTGATCACCTACTTGTCTATTAGATTGAAAAAAGATCATGAAACAGATTCAGAAGTCTGAGGCTGAGTCTTGCCTCTTTAGGCACTTTTTTATCGTAAATTACTAATAGGTAAGTCGAAAAACCAAAAATGACTCACAAATAGATATGGCAGAGAGTGGGATTATTTAAATTTTTCTGGTTTAATAGTTGAAATTTTGTATCGGTTCCAAATCGCGTAATTATGGTTCGTGTTTAAAAAAGAAATACACTTTTGACATTTCCCTGGTCGCAAACAAAGCTAGTATCTTTTAATGACTTAATTGGCTACTGAAATGTTTTAATTCAATTTTCATTGACATTCTAGGGACATTTAGGAACGTCATAAATGTTATGTGGAAAAAAAACAGAAGTCACGTGGACAGAAATAAAATATATCTATAAAGATTATGTATAGTTACTTCGTCCGATATTTATTTAAATATAATCGTATTATGGTAACTCAAAGGCATAAAGACTCTTATAAGGATTTAGAGGGTCTCTCTCATTATTTTTCGAATTCATAATAATATGAAACAAGCGACCGCTTCTTAATACGATTGTTGGTATATTAACTTTGGTGGTATATACATACATACAACTTTAAAAAATCGTAATAAATATTCATAGAGAAAGCTCTAAAAATACAATTTTCGTTACTAAGTCTATTTCCCTAATATTTTTTTATTGTAACGGTATGGTAAGTATTATTTCAATATATATAAGTAAGGAGCGAATAAGTCGGCCTTTGGGGACCTACGCTGAGAGGTACTAGTCCCATACGGTAAAGGCGGTTCTGGAATAAATATACCGAAATTGGATCATACTTAATTCGTTAAGCGTTTAAATATTTCTCACAAAACTTCAGCACGACTCGATTTGCATATTAACTTGACGTAATTTCTTAAGATAACAGCCGCTTGTTTTCTGTTTTATTAAATCACTTTATTTTGGTATAAGAAGTCTATTTTTCTTTCATTTAAGAGTTCGAAAACTTTTAAAAGATCAGTAGTTTTATTTAAACATAGGGTGGTCAATTGCCAAGGGGGGACATTTCCTAAAAAAGGAACTAGTTCAAACGTAGGTCTGGTGGGTTTGGCGTCTCCCGCCGGGCCTGGGCGACTACTCTGGAAATATCCTCACGATATTTATGGTCCTCTGTCCGCGCCCGCTGTCCGGCGGGAACCGCGTCACCTTTTGTGCTGTTTATTTTACTGACATATTTGACAATTCTGTGGAAGATTTTTTCCAGCCGCGAGCTGTGCTCGAGCAGCATGTCGAATAGTATTTCCCGGGATACCCTCATGCCAGTCTAGAGCTCCAGATCGCATCTGGCTCTTTCGAAAGTTGGACAGACAAGTAAATGAACCACCGTTTGGTCGGTTCTTTCGTCACAGTCGCACGAGGTTCTTCAGTTATAATCTGTGTAAATAGTGTCCAAAAGCCCCGTCGCCAGTCAGGACCAGCACCATGTGCTGTGTGAAGCGCCTTGATTGACGTGTTTGTATACGCGTTTGCATGTTTGAAAATAATTTTTGTTATACATAGCGTTCGCTCCAGGTGTCTACCGTCTAAGATCAGTAGTTACCATCGGCCTTATTAACTAAGACACCATACTTATAACCATGACTATAAAATTGGTAACCATACGTCTTTAGTCTATGTCTAGTATTACATGCTAACGTTCTAATCACACATTTGTTTGATCTTTCAGCGCTCCTGAAGCTCCTAACGACGCTTAGTAATATTGGAAAACTTATTTCCAGACAAAAATCCAGTTTTAGCATTTTTATTACCGGAATTAGTATCGGATATTTTTATTTACTGCGATGCAATTTCGGGCTCGTAGCTTACGTAAATTGAGATTTTAAGCTGCCCTTTCAAATTGAGGAGCAGCCAATTTCACAAGCTGATAATGGGACTTTATTCCAATGTTCTATAGAGATTTATATACAGAATTTTACTTGTATATTTGAAATTGACAATTACCAGACTTTTGACAGGGAAATACAGACAAGGATTTTGACTTTGCGGCTATTAGTTCGTTGTAACGCTGCAACTGTCACTGTCATAAGCTACAAAAATATGCAAAAATAAAACCTCAAAAGAATTATTCAAATAATGTTTAACCAGTTATATACCTAACGAAAAGTTATACAATAACTTGAATAAGACTAAACTATACGAATAGATAGTTGTTTTTCAGAACCCGACTGAGTGCAACACTAAACTTGTAGCCGCGGCGTACCCCTTATACGAATACACCCATAAAATTGACGGTATCTAAAATATAATAACTATTAAATTTAGTTAAGATTCGAAAAGATAAAGAACAGATGAAGCTACTCTCCTACGATGCATTTGACAATTACTTTTTGTTACGAATTTACGTTTCGTAACTTTATATTATTCGAAAAGTGAAAATTCTAATTCTGCATTTAATTTGGCACTAAAATCTCTCTACTATCTGTAGCTCATGTCTGAGCGACGTGGTCAGCAAGGAAACATCTCTTATCGTGTATAGTTTTGAGGACGATGAGTCTTTTACTTGATCGATCCATGTGGTTGGTGCACGTGATCTTTTGCCTTCTGTGTTACCCACGATCAGTTTCTCCAAAAAGTCAAAAGCCAAAAATCATTTATTCATGTAGGTAACACAATGTACACTTATGAACGTCAAAACAGAAATATACATTAAATGCTTCTAATTTTACATTTACTGCCAGTTCTCAAATCAAGGGCGTAGAACGGAAGAGAAGAGCTGGCAATAAACTCTCCGCCACTCTTTTTAATCGCCAAGTTTTTTGTTTCACACAACGTTTGTAAGGAGCCGCAACCATTACACCATGTTCCACATGACATCCTTAGTAATAAATAATAATACAATAAATTCAAAACAAAGATTTGTCCTCTATCAGCAGGAGGCATGGTAAAGTTCTAAGTTCTCATTGCCTAAAATAGCAGGTAAATATTATTACCGCAGGTACATCTATTGGTGGGTCATCTGGTTCTGGTGGATATGGCGGCATGAAGGCCCTCATTGGAGCCCTCATAGGTGGTTGGTTGGTCATGAGTGTCCTCGCAAGATGCGCCAAATCAGCAGTACTGGACACCGCACGCGCCTGTGTGCATAGAGACTCGTATCTTCTCAGCTGATGGTTGCACTGTAAGGAAATTAATTACAAATAAAGTAAATTCTGTAGGCCACTGTCAACCAACTTCAAAAATAAAAATAACTCTCTTGTTTAATGTCATAATCCATTGCCATTATAATTAACATTAGCAAAGTAAAAGTAGAGGTAGGTAGAGAATATCATGCGAAAGAAACCGCAGGCCCGTCAAATCCTCGCCACCTAAAGAGTGCCCAAGCGGGGAAGCAGGGGTCCATGCGTTCAAAAGAAGGGATGGTGATCCATCCCTGCAAGCACTGGACCCGATCTCCCCTAGCTATTCCTAAAAGCGTATGGCCCGATCTGTGAAGGATACTTGCTGTGTCAAGTATCTTCACAAATCAACAATGGGCGGGGAGAGGCGGACACAACTGCCGCATCGCATGTCGGGAAGCGGATAAGGCTCTGCTGTTACCGCATCCCGCCTAAGGCGATTGTTGGTGGCGCCTTGGGGTTTTAGTGGGTATGCACATTCGCGAGTCCCACATAACCCTCCCGCACTAAGCAGTCGCACCGCGGTAGGGTATGCGCAATGCATTTCCCCAAGTAAAAAAAAAAAAAAAAGGTAGAGAATATCATGTGTCAAAACTATATTTTTTTACAGATCTAATAAATCTACTTCTTAACGTAAACTTAAATAAGTTAAGGTATATATATATATTATTAAATAAATTTGATTTAAATAAAGTAAACTTCAAAGGTATAATGTAATATTAATAACCAAAGATATTAACACAGAACTTCACTCGAGGAAGTCTGCGCCCGACAATTTAATTAACAACCACATTGCTGAAAATCTCCACTGCCTTGTGATATGTTTAAGTGCTACTCTTATAGAATTACGATTAAATATTTTTTTATTCATTATTATAATAAGAATCTACTTTTATATCCGATTAAATTAAGATACATTCGATATATATTATCAAACTAGAAAAAATCAACTGGCTGTTAACCTAATTGTATTGGTTTTATTTTTATTAATTTTTTCGAAAACTAAATCAACTCTGACTTAGCTCACACTCTGACTGCATTTGCTATATTTGTAAATAAGTAAGCACCATGTATAGTGTATGCGTACACGCGGTACACCATGTATAGTGTATACACCATGCGTCTATTTTATTTTAGTATAGTAGTATTTTTTACTTTGGGTACATAGTCTTCACATATAATTATCAAATCATTGTATACAAAATATTGTGAAAACTATTTTAAAAGAGTATGTATGGAGTTTCTTGCTCATTCTTCTCCACACGAAACTACCTTTTAGAAGAGCGACTAAGTACAACTAAGTAGTAATTTTTCTTTAACTTTAAATTTCAAAAGTGCCTTTTTGATAGGCCTAATTGAAATAAATGATTTAACATTGACTTTGATTTAAATAAACATTGCATTTGTGTTGATAGAGTATTGAAACTGCATTTTTTTAATTTTAATAAAAATCTTCTATATTATGTCCCCGACATCACTATCCGTTTTACTAATACGATCAAAAATTAAAGTGGGTCACAAAAGATTCACTTAGTAGTAAAAAGAATGGGACCACGACGTTGAAAATATGTACCTTCGAGCATTTCACTAGTAAACAGAAGATTATTGGAATATCAATAATGCTATTAAATAATCAAGAAACAAATAATAAATATAGATTTAAGTTTGTATAAATGAAATAATACAATTTAATGAAATTCTTAATTTCTATTCAAATTAACGTCTTATACTGAAACATTGAAATACCTTTTCCGACATAATTTCTCCTTCCTGACAAATGGCATCGCTGACTGCAGTCGTTACGTCCGTTAAAATTTCCTCCAATTCCTGTAATAAATTAGGAAATAAATCACTTGGTAAATATCTAAATAAAGTAATGAAGAAGACTTAATACACAAAGAGATAAAATTTTTACTTAAAGTAGGCTTTTGAAATGAATCAAATGTTAGTTGGGATTTATTTTTAAAGAAATCAGTTTCACGGTGGACATTTTCAGCAACTCCATGGAGACCTTTCACCGCCTCGTGTACGCAACCTTGCATTTTTTTGTTCCCTTTTATTCCTACCTAGTTAAACTTACATTGTTTTTTGTATATTCGCTTGGCGACTTCTTCGATACAAAAACTCCTCGGGATTTGTGTGCCGCGATATCGCGGGCTACTCGATTGCGAGGAAGTTGCATAGTTAGCGCTGCGCCTGATTCGTAAGTTCTCATACCATATTCACACGTGTATATCTTATTTCTTACATATTTCATTAGTGTTTGATTGTCCTCGTTAACATGTGTAATGTAAGCATAAAAAAATATAATTAAAGAAAGATTAAGTACATTAGTAATGCAACCAATAATTAATTGTGTTAATGCTATGATGAAAACAGATAAGAATTATTGTTATAACGTCGTGGAAAGTATCTCCCAGAATCGTAGTCTAATATCTCGCAATCTTAAGGCCATACCTGCTGTAAATTTTAACAAACATTGAAATTAACTGCAGCTGATTTCAATAATTTTTTTCTATTTTTTTTTAATATTCGTTCATTAAATTACGGTTTCCTTAACAATAAGTAAAAAGTAACTAGTATTTTTATTGTTTTTTTAAATTTTTGTAACATTTATGTTACCAAAATTGTCATATATAATAGAAAAAAGAAAAGATAGCTTGTGACATATACTGTATATATATTATATAAATAAATAAATTTCTAAGAATACGATGCTCCATTTTACTGCAATATTTTTTAAATAGAAACTGAATTACAAAAATATATTTTCACACTTCAAATAATAGTCAGTTATTCTCTATGCGATTCTAGACAAATATACGCTATGGTTAAAATTGTACCGAGCATCACGAAATGCTCGCGATACACTCTAGTCCAAAAATGTAAAAAAGAAACGATATGAAAAAATGTTTTATTAAAAGAGTACACTTTTTACTTCACTTTACTGTATTGGTATTATTGATAAAATTTTGATTGTATAAATGTTCATATAGTAAAGCACTGATGGCCTATGGCTTAAGCGTGCGACTCTCATCCCTGAGGTCGTAGGTTCGATCCCCGGCTGTGTACTTTCTTTCTATGCGCGCACCTAAAATTAGTTCGATCGGTGCAGGAAAACCTCGTGTTTTAACCTTAGACAGGCACTGGAGACTAATCTCCCACTTGCCTATTACATTGACAAATGATTATGAAACAGATACAGAAATCTGAGGCCCAGACTTATAAAGGTTGTAGCGCCACTGATTTATTTATTTTATAAATGTTCATATATTGAAGAAAGTTGGTTAAAATCATTTGATCGCAATTTTAAAAATAGAGGAAATGCAATATGGTTTCTAGTTAATAAAAGATCTGGGTAACTAAACTTCATTATCCAAAAGCTCAAAAGTATAATAAGCCGTCTGTGTATAGTGTATGTAAAACCAAGAATATTTACAGCTTCCGCATAATCGACGGCGAAATCCACGGGATTTCGCGAATTCGTCAAAGAATCTGTTCGATAGGTTTTGTTCTTGGCTTTCATTTTATAATATATATCTAAGTACAGTATGTTCCCCTGATTGACTCTTTCTACCTCTCTTACTCACGGTTTCGTAGAGGTTAGATACCTGTATTTACAATAAGTTATCATTTATTATTATTAAATATAAAGCATGCTTCGTTTGCCTGTTAGGGTGTGTTTAGTTTTTTGTTTAGGTGCAATGAGTTTTTACTATTTGTTTCTAGATTGTTCTATAGCAATGCCCGTTAATAAACCTTTTTAAATTAATAAAAAATTATTTCCTGAAAACTGTCCATACTGTCGCGTGCTTTACACCAAGCAGGCTTACAGTTCAATGACCTATTACATTAAAAATAACCAACCGCAAATACAACATAATAATGAAAAATCTCTTATAATCTCGCTTAATTTATTTGTGTCTGTAGCAATTCATTTTTCGAATCAAATTTCATTGCGAGGCAAGATTTTTAATTAATATCTATACTGAAACTCGAGATGGCTCTATGTAGCTTTCAAATCCATGAACGTCAGTTTTAATTAATCTTCTGAAATTCGAGCTTTTAGCATTGCGCCTTTAATCGCAAATCATGATGCTTCTATATTACCTACAGTATTTCGAAATCAGATTTACCATATAAAGGGTATGTCAAATTCGAATCTAATTAAATGGATACATGAAATACTGAGTTCTTTTATTGTACCAGATCAGATTATATCATTTAAAACATCTTTGACATGACTTTCTTTTGTGCTGTGAAATTATTTTTATACGCCATAATTTCGTCAATAAAATACATACATACACTATTGTCAGTTTCTCTAAAATTATTGACGAGATGTAGCACAAATGCCAATCGAATTTCCAAATTCCCATACAGAATAATCAATAGTGCTCAATAATTTTTATCAACAACAAAAGCGCTGTATCCATTCCATAATTCTGATATTACGATTGGACAGATGACTTCACAGCCTCATCATCACACACATCATCCGGGGCTGTTCAAACACCGTTTTCTTCTAAATCCAATATTTTTTGGACTCAACCAGGAGTCAAGCCTGAGTCCTCATGATTTGCAGTTTTCGTGTTTTAATGGATGTTCCTATGAGGGGGCAAGAAATGGAACTCTTTGCCCTCTTCCATCTTCCCTAGACAGTTTAGTATGGGTTAACTTAAGCGGCGGTTAAATAAGCATCTTCTGGACCCTTGGGTAGAATGCCTAGCGAACCCCGAGAGCCCACCTTAAGAGCATGTGAAGGGCTGAGGTATTTTTAGTGGGTGGGATCTCGCTGTCCATCTGAATAGCAGAGGGATTTGAGTGTAGACCCAGCCCCACAGACCCCGCGTCAAGCTCGACATCTTTGACGCGGGCCAGCGTAAGCGCATTTTCACCTCATTAAAAAAAAGGCATCTTCTGGACAGGCGTCGCAAAACGCCGCATCTCACTTAACATCGGATTGTGGCCAATCGTCTGTCAAGTTCTGTATACATAAATACTAGCCTTTAGACAGTAAAACTATAATGAATTTACCTGTAATATAGTGGGCAGTGTATGGTTATGGTATTGTTCAATCATTGCATTTGTGGCTGTCAATTGTTGCACGTAGTTGTTGTGCGAGTCATAATATGTTGCGAGGTTGACAGGGCTTGCATTGTCGCAGTAGTTCAGGAAGGCTGTTCTGTATTCTTGTCGACTCTGAAAGTAATAAAAATAATAAATAAATAAAAAAATTCATAGAGAAGAATTGTTTTTTGAGTAACAAAAGAAAACAACAGGCACGAAATTGTTTGGCTTCAGGCGTGCGACTCTCATCCTTGAGGTCGTAGGTTCGATCCCCGGCTGTGCAGCAATGGACTTTCTTTCTATGTGCGCATTAAACATTCGCTTGATCGGTGAAAGAAAACATCGTGAGGAAACCTGTACGTCCACCACCGAATGCTGAATGTTCCGATGGTGGACGCTCAGAGGGGGTTTTCCACGACGGTAGCGTGTACCCCTTGGGTAATCTCTGTTCAAACTGCGCCTTTTTTATCTTGACATGGGCTGCGGGAGTCACTTAACTCTTAGTAGCCCTAATGGCCTCATTCATACATAGACTAAAGAGTCAAATCCCGTTGAAAAACCTACTTGCTTTAATAATGAAATTGACGCAAATATGTTGTTCATGTGTTGTGTGAATTGTTTGAAAAAACAAATACATTTTGAATCGAATAGCAAAAATATTAGAACGGATGGGTGAGCAGTGCTTCGTGCGTATTTATAATGGAATTATGAACATACATTGTTCCAATTTTGTGCGTCTACACGTGCGTTCGTACACTAAATAGAAAATTTCGACTACTTGATACGAAAAGCTTTACCGTTTTTCTACTTTTTTCCGAATCCTCGAACAAACTTTTGTCTTTTAGTTCATAGAAATTTTATAATTCACTACAAGTATTCACAACGATGCCTGATCATTTAGTTTTTTTATCCTCTCAGCCTCTTGGCTTTTATCCAATATTTTTTTATTCGTAAACTATCAGACTGCGGCAAGTTTCGCCCTTTTCAGCCCCATACACAGTCAGTCGTTTCCGATAGGCCCGAAGCTAGGGGGTTGACGCGTTGCTGAAGTCTCATTTTGTATCGCACGGTTGATCTTTTAATGTCTTCCTCGACAGTGGCAATTCCCAAATATTTATGGATTATTATATTTATTTCGTGTGAACCACGACGCACCGCTCATATTTCGGAATATTTTGTTTTGTAGCCGCTGCAGGATTTCGATATTAGAGCGACTTGCTGACCCCCAGAGCTGTATCACACAGTTTTATTACAGTGATCATTTATTTAAAATATTTTTTTAATGTATCGGGGGACAAACGATCCTACCAAGCCCAAAAAGGGCAGTCATCGCAGCCGATGCGCATCCATTTCAGTGGTTGCGTTGTCATTATTTGAGGGAGGCAGTAGATAGAGATATACAAGGTATGTTAAGCGCTTCTTACGTTACACAAAAGGGTTTTGTTTCTTTGCAATTGCGATAAATTGTTCGTACTAAGTCGGCATCATAAAATGTAAGTAAGACTTTTAGCTAGGGATAATAACCATTAATATCAGTCTTCATTAATGACAAAATACGTGTATTTTCAATTATTCACTATAAACAGTTAAGAACAATCGTAGGACAATTAGCATGGGTAATTATTAGGTTTCCATTAAAAGATCCGCCTGATCTGGTTACACAAATAAAAATGAAATGCATTCCAATAAATAAATATATGTCAAAACTTTTGGACCGAATATGGCGCAAGTGTCATTGATAAACTTTATTATGTTTACACTTATTACCAATTCGATAATAAGAATAACTTATTATTAATAATAAAACTAGCAACTCTTGTGAACTCTGCAAACAAATAGAAATACTTCTAACCTAATTTATAAATTCCCCAGAGTTGGTGCTTTCCTAAGTATCGCAACACAGTGAGTAAATGCTGCCAGCATTAAAGGTACACTGGCACAGGGACCAAACTTTTAAAATTTGTTTTAATTTTCTATTTATCCATTATTATTACTATGAAGGTTAAGAATATTGTAAATACTGATATTTGTAAGTTGGAAACATTTTTCTCCTTAGAATAATAGTATTTTTATTTACACAAATACAGTATTTACAATTTTCTTAACCTATAAAGTAATAATAAAAATAATTTAAAATAAATAAAATGAAAATCAAAACAAATTTAAAAAGTTTGGTCCCTGTGGCTGTGTACCTTTAACGCTGGCAGCATTTCCTCGCTGTATTGCGAGACTTATTCTTTGAGCCAGGAAAGTGCCAGCTCTGCGGTCACCGGTAGTATCTACCAGGCGCCAACTTAAATCTTTAATAAGCGCCTGTGCACTTGAACCCCACGGCCCAAGAGTCTCTACTCCAAAGGGAACAAAATTGAAGTTGGAGGAAAGACTCTTATATTTGTGCCGTTTGTTATTTTCTGCCTGCTCTGCGGCCGCCCCAGCTTTTTTGCTTGTCCGAAGGAGATGAGACTCCTTCAATTATAAAAAGTAAATATACAATTGTGTTTTAGTTGTCAAATAACTTCTATTTATTATTCATTGTTGTTTTTGCGTAACTGTAAATAGTAGTTGCAAAGAGATTAATAATTATAGGTATACTAGTGGACCCCACAGACGTTGTCCTGCATGATATTTAAAGCGATTAGGATATTAAGCAAAGTATGAAAGTACCGACTGCAGTGCCATCTGCCGGGCTGATTTGTGAATCTAAACCATTCCCAGATCCCCTTGAACACACACATAAAATTTCATCAAAATCGGTCCAGTCGTTTAGGAGGAGTTCAGTCACATACACACGCACACAAGAAATATATATATTAAGATAAATGTTTCTGTGTACAAAAAAGTTGTAACAGAAATAAGGATTATATTGATGCAATGTATATTTATTTTTTTTAGGTCTTTAATATAGAGTAATTAAGTTTGGTTCTTTACCATGGTGGTGAAAACCACTGAGTCAGTTCGAAAAGTGAGTTACAGAATCGCAAGTCTGGCATTAATCTATTCCGTGATTAATATTGCCAGATTACTCTTATGAGTTACCACATGTACAAGGTTAGTCAATTTATATTTTTCTAAGACATAATATATCAGAAAAAGTGAAAGCATAATAGCAGATACTGTTGTATGGACCATAGTGTTCGGCGTATTAAAACTTTATAACATCTTTGACGACGCCAACATCGTCCAATTCATAAAATGCAACAGGCTCTTGCATGTGAACCGAATGGCGATGACAGAACCCCAAGGTCCTTACTGAAGTCACAATCTGGTGGCAAAAGAAAACCCGGTAGACCGAGTCTGCATTGGTGGGATGGAGTTTTCGAGGATCTTGAAACGATAGATGTGCGCTCGATGTTGGACGCAAGAAGCACGAAACAGATTGCGATGGCGAAAATACTCGAGGAGTCTAAGGCCCATAAGCAGCAATACAGCCCGTATAGCCATTGATGATGATGGTAAGTAAAAAACTGGTGTACTGACATATTGCATTAGTTCTTATTCTACACTAAGACACTTCACGTACTAATCCATCTCTTTTCATCATACCGTAAACATGATTTGACAAAGCGACGAATGACGTTGAAAGAATCACCATATTTTATAAACATACTACGTAAGTTATATATCTCCTCATAAGTGATTAACAAATGTGTAACTGAAGTTAAAATCGCCGTGATATAATTGTAAAAATTACATGATATAGTTTTATATTCCTTAACTATTCCGAAGTCAAATTGTTGCAGAGACAATTAGGACTTAGGACTTCACTTACTCGATTAATTAAATCCCTTTTCAATTGTTTTAGAACCTATAAAGCTTTGCCAAGTTCTAACAATACGAGACCAATCAAATTAAGCTTCATTCAGTTGATCCGATTGGACGATTAGTGCGGACTGGGTATTAAATGCTACTGATACTATGTTTCACTTTGCATATTCATTAATTATGAGAGTTTAAGCGCAAATTGCTAATGGGCCTCGTCAAAATAACGAATAATTATTAAATTCCAGGGGAAGGTTATAATTACCTTCCCATAAGGTTCCACGTAAAAATTGTAACCATTATGACGAATAGGGCATGCAGACGCCTTTTTTAATAAGGGTGAAATTTTGGTGAATTTTAAATATATTATATGAGCTGTGTTGGCCTAGTGGCTTCAAGCGTACGACTCTCATCCCAGAGGTCGTAGGTTCGATCCTCGGCTGTGCACCAATCGAATTTAATTCTATGTGCGCATTGAACATTCGCTCGAACGGTGAAGGAAAACATCGTGAGGAAACCGGCTTGCGTTAGACTCAAAAAGTAGACAGCGTGTGTCACAGGAGGCTGATCACCTACTTGCCTATTAGATTGACAAATGATCGTGTAACAGATACAGAAATCTGAGGCCCAAACCTAAAAAGGTTTTAGCGCCACTGATTTATTATTTATATGAAATTATGAATAGTTTATATATTTTCTATGTCTATGTAAGATTTATGTTTCATTATATTTCGTAACAGATATTTCCCCTTCCTAACAAGATGAAAATATTTGCAAAGAGACTTTCCACAGTGGTCAAGTCATGTGAATTAAGGATTTCTTTTGTGGAATAAAATCCTTCACAATTTCACCTGTGCACAGGTTTCTCTTATATTTCCTAAGAATTTCGAGAACTCAACAAAAGGAGTAGCTTTAGGTTAAGTAATTGCTTCTAAACTTTTGCTATACTAGCATTTTATATAGAACACTTTAATGAGGATATTTAACATAATTATTCAAACAATTAATTATTCTGTCGGTCTGAACTTCGATACACTTTAAACGACCCAAAAAGGGTTGTCATAAATTTAAAGTGTCTGTCTATCTGTGGCATCGTAGCTCATAAATTAATGGCGTGAAACGGGTTTTCTTTAATTGATTATAAGTGTTGGATAAGCTTATAAGCTAAACAATAATGATACATACACAAAAGGATACTACTTCGTTCCTTGTATCTTTGTAGCTTGTTACATGGACGAAAGTTCTTAATTATAAATTGTTACAATACAATGTTAATTGTTATAAATTATAGCAAGTGATGATATTAAGTTAACAAATGTTTGACTGAAGAATAACAATACTATAGATAAAATATACAATACAAGTTAAAGGGG